ACAGAGCCTATATACATATACATATATATATACAGTATTATCTGTGATAGAGCTATGAGCTTACGAATCAGGCACATTAATTCATCACATTACCCGTTATTAATCCTCTTTGACGGCGGAAATGAAAGAGTGATGTCATATTGAAAGCTTTGGAGGCCTAAATTTCAGTAATGCATACCGATAGGTACCTATACTTTCTCTACCTATATAGATTGCCATAGGAGAATGTTTTAAATCACTTGGAGAGCTACGGAGACTATGCTTAGAGTTTCGTTGCGTGATAAAATCCAAAATGATATATGAATTGACCTACCCGTTTTATCTTGCGGCTTCTGTCCTGTATGTCCCTTCTGATTATGTCTACTTGTACCGCCTGAGTGTTATCTATGTAGTATATTACAGAAGCGATTCGCCTTGCCTTCCCATGGGTAGATAGGAAAAAATCTTATTTTTATAATAAAATTTATTCTTTTATTCTTTATTGCACTTGTAAATTACATTGTTAATCCATTTATAAATATTGTGAGCCAGGGTGGATTTATTTCTGACAGAGATCTCTTTCAGTCAACCCAATACAGTTGGAAAACATGTCATATATTGCGATATAAAAGCAATTATTCGTTCCTAATGTAGCTTTTTATAGGTGAAAGACATTAAATTTAGTTAAGTATTATTCGAATTTGTCTATTATAAACAAAAAATAATTTCTTTCCTTTTTGTAATGTTAGTTTGGATATATACTAGTGATCCGTCCCGGCTTGGCACGGATGCGGAGTAGAAAAAAATGTGGTGTCAGTAGTCATATTACTATTGTATCCGTCTAAAAAGCTTTCTAAACTCCACATAATTTTAATATTTTTTTTTTATTTTAAATTAACTATACAAAGCTATCTGTATAATATAGAATGCCACTGACTGTTTTATTTCAGCATTTTCGATGAAAGCTCTCAGTCGATTTGGTTTCTTTCTGATGTATTGAAAAATTATCGTCATATATCAGTTATCGATAAATTAACATAAAACAATATTAAAGTATACATATAAACCTTTCTCTTGAATCAGTACTACTGATGCATACTGCATTAAAATCCGTTGTGCAGTTTAAAAGATCCCAGCGTACTGACGGCAGAAAGCGATTTTGTTTTATACTATGTAGTGATTTTCAAAAAAGTATATCATTTGTGTAATACCCATTGCATCTGAGGTCTTCTGCGTGATACGTATTTTTCTAAGGAGAGGCGGCCTTACCCATTGCGAGGCTCCGGGCGATAGGTCTGGCGAGGCCCTTTGTTCTTTGTGAAAAGTATGTGATGCGAACTAGGTTGTTTGTCATGTTTGACGAGAAATGTTAAAGTTATACAATAAATAAATTTTGAGTTTTAATATTATATATATTTGTCTTATTTTACATTTCTCTTTGCAATTGATTTTTTTTTATTTGTATATTTTAGTGTTGGCAATTACGTTCATTCGCGTATTAAAATGCCTCAATCGGGAAGTTTTTACTAGTCTAGCTAGCACTAGTCACTAGACAAAATGCCACTCACTGGTTGTTTAAAATTTGCTTGGGTTATTACGCGAGACCCCTACAAGAGTGAGGCCCCGGGCGATTGCCCTGTTGGCCACCCCTTAAAGCCGCCGCTGTTTCAAAGGGACTTAAATTAACCATTTTTTTCTTTTAATTTTTATTTTGTTAATTTTTTATTATCAAGGCGTATCTAAGTCGATGTCTGTGGATATGGAGATACTAAAGAATTTTTTTATGAGAGCCTTTAATGTGAGTAATCGAAGCTAGAACAATAATTTTTAGAAATTTTGTCTATCTTTCTGACTGTCTGTATGTTTGTTCCGGTATCACGCATTAAATATTTCACCAAATTGGTTGCAGTGTTCATTATTGTTTTCCTGATGGTCTAATTTAAAGTCTGGTATATATTTAACATGGTCTGGTATATATTAATGACGGTGTGGTCCCGACATAGAATAGGCCACAACTTCCTTTCCCGTGGGTGTCGTAAAAGCCGACTAAGCGAGGGCGAGGGATGGGCAGTAGCGTCACTCTTAAAATATTTCTAAAGTCTGACTGCAGTTGCTAATTTGTCTGTCAAGCGTGGCAACTACTAGCAAAATTCTCTAAAAAGGGGAGGCCTCTGTTCAACAGTGGACAGTTAATGGTTGATATGAATGAATGAGCTCGAATTAAAACGACTGAATGAAGAAGCAACAGTACTATTTAATACATATTATTGTTTTATCTGTGGCAACGGGAAGGTACAAAGTAAGCATAAATTTCATACGCATTGTGCAGTGTTTTGTGAAATAATAACGACGTTTTCGGAATACCGCAATTTTCAATTAAACACGCACAGCATTTCTATATTTGGAATGGAGTAGGTAATTTTGAACTTGAACCAATTTGATGATAAATATTATTTAACACTTTATAATTTACATACATTATTGTGCAATCATCCTTAGACCCTAAAACCTAAATAGTAATGAACTGTGAGGTTTCAGTTACTACCATGATGGCATAGGTTGTGGAATGAGCTACTTGTTGAGTGGTATTTCTCTTCGCATTTTCGATTATAAGTAAAAAACTATGCGACATAAAAATAATTGAAAAACGATTTTATACTTATATAGAAACGGTGAAGGAATTGTTAGTAATATGGACTAGCGGTTTTATTGTAAGCACTATATATACTCTGTCAGATCGACTTCTAGGCGTTTTCCTCTGAAACTCATCGTGATTAATTCTTGTTGAATTCGTCGCGGCCAATTGACCTGATTTTATTCTCACATATCACCACTTACTGGAGCTGCGCCAACATATACCGATAGCGCAGGCGGGGTTATCATTCCATTATCATCCAATAAAAAAAATAGAAATGAAACAATTTCATATCATATCCCACTTTAACTCCTCTTACGAGGGAGGACCTATGTTCAGCAGTGGACAGTTAACGGCTGATATGACGATGAACACACTTGGATTAGTAGAATCATTTTGAAATTTTGAGGATTCATTAAAAAAGAAAATAAAAATGTTTTATTTTTCAATTACTTCTTTTGCAATATGTGTGCGCTAGCGATATCTAAAACTACTCGTAAGTCAAATTTCAAATTGGTAGCATTAGTAATGGCTGAGATAAAGCGTTATGACCAACGGACTAATGGACAGAATAGTATTATAAGAGATCCTTATTCCTTCTGCCGCCATTTGTGTTGTGGAAATGAAACTGCCATAGCGTTAGTAATTATCACTAAGTCCAGTATATATTAAGTAACTTAATTACAATAAATTCAGCGCCACTTGAATGGAAATTAAGTAGTTTATTTCAAAACTCGCCGAAACAGTAATAGAACTGTTGTTCTCACGAAATTAGTTGACCTTCTTTAGTCCTCTTTAATCCGGATCATCCTGAACAACGTCAGGAACTCAGCGGCGTGCGATATTTCTAAATCAATGTTTATACGGAGCTTGTGCTCTAAACTCTTGCTTATTTTCTTGGATTGAGTAATCCTATTAAGTTTCATCTGAAACGTTAAGAGGCATCGTGCCCATTAGGGGAATTAAAATTAATGAATGTAAATGTATTGGAAAGAACAACAAAGCAAAGACGTTAGTTAAATACTATCTAGGTTATTGTTAAGTTTTTATTAGAAATCTATTCTAGGTTACCTAGAATAGATTTCTTTTTTTCAGTCTGCCGGAGAGTCCGGTTGGATTGATTGACGGGTATCTATATTTAACTATTGTCAGTGTGTGTGTGTATTATACTGTGTATATAATAATGACTAATAAACTGGGCATTACATATTGCATAATAATAATTATTATAAACTAAAAAAATCTTATTTTATGGGTACTAAAATAAATAATTTCACTAAACTAATTCTAGTAAAACGGGACTAGATATTGTTCGGCCTCAGAATAAAACAATATGACAAACTTATAGATTAGGTATTATTATGAACATATCTTGGTTTCGCACGGATAGATAATAGATTTTAATTTTTTTATGAAATAAAATACAAGACTTATTAAAATCGGTTATATTTTTTTTATTTATTCATTATAATAAAAAATAAAAATTTTTTTCATTATTATATTAGGTTATTATTTTGTACACATTAAACTTTCAGTACAGACCGGCGCTACGAGAATATAATTGATTAATAAAACATTTATTAATTGTTCATCTCATTTTGGTTTTATATTAATTTTGTCACGATTGAAGTAGCTGTTTTGTTAAGTAAATTCATAAATTATTTAGTTTCAATTATTTTATTATATCCGTCATTAACTGCCCATTGCTGAACTTAGGCCTTCTTTATAAGGGGAGGTTCGTCATTAGTTACCATGCTTGGTAGATCGGCTTAGCATCCGTAGTTAGGCTTTAGTGATGTTTTAAGAGGAACTCTGCTGTTTGTTTCTCGACCATTGATTTCCCTTAGTCGCTTCTTACGACACCGACAGGATAGAAAGGGGTAGCCCATTCCATCTGGGGACCGCACACACACAGCAATTATAATTTAGTTTAATTAAAATAATTTAGTTTATACCCTCTCAAACAATTTCTTATCATAATCAGCCAGGAAAAGGCTTACAGCTTATTTACTTCAGTAATTTAACTTCCGTGTCCACAGTTAGTAACTTAGAGCAGGCACTTATTAATATTTGTTTATCTTTTCCCAAGGTGACCGCAATTTTGACTCCACGTAGCGCGCGGTTACTAGAAGTCGTTTCTCATTCCGCCATCTCATTTTCACCTCGACTTATGAAATTGTGTTTGTCAGGCTTACGTTCTTGCGACTTTGTGATAAACAAAATGATCCTTAAAAATATACGTCACAATGTAATATTTTGGTCTTTCTTATGTCACTCGCAAATAAAGCTAATAGAAATTATGTTCATCACTGTGTATTAACACATAAATAAAAATTCAATTAAAGTTAATACGATTAATTAGATATTTAATTTAAACAGCGTGAAATCAATTGAACACAGCGTAAATTTTGTACACGATCTGAACTACATCTCCAAAGGTTTCTCTGTTCATAATGAAAATATCAGCTGCTGTGAGGTAAAGTGGACGTTGAGATAGTGCCAGTATTAGGAAAACCATTCTGGCTTGTTTATGATTCATTAACTCCCAGCCACATGAATATGCTGCTGTGGACATACCTGTCTCCGCACTCAATAGAAGTTCACCTCCAAAACAGTATATGAATAAAGGCATTACACCCGTCACACCTGTTAATATTGTATTGCTTATGTTCCACGAATTCATTGTCTGTAATGTTGTTACTAACACCAATGTCATCATCAAGAAGTGAGCTCCGAAAACTGATTTGTATAATTCCTTTATCTTCTCGTGATAGATCATTATAAACTGGTGGTGTTTTATAGACAACTTCAATTCGGCTTCTATAGTTTTTTGTTTCATATCGTCGTTTTCAAATATTTCCTCATCATTTACAATACTGTATATATGATTCAATGATTCAGTGATAGCATAGAAATGACCAAGTTCATGCGAGAGTAAGTTGACAAATAGTACAATGTAGCCAGTTTGATTTATAGCAGAGAAGCATGTTGCAATTGAAGTTAGAACAAATGATATTTGGTAGAATGGTGTTTCGTATTTGCTGCTGAGGCCTGAAAATATTTTGTTAAAACTTTGATTAAGTTATACTTCATGAGTAAGATTTAATTTGAATTAAGTTAGATACAAATTCAAAAGGTTTTTGTGATACTTTATGAAATGATTTGCTTTAAGAGCTTTGTAGTTATACGTAGGTTTATCGTAGGCTTATTTATATTTATATAAATTAAAATCTTAGACGTCGTCTTTGTTAATACTTAGAACCATTTACTTGAATAATAAATTTATTAATTTAAAATATCTTTAATAAAAAAAAAGAAGTTTATCAATGAGTAATGTATTGCTGTTTTTTTGCCATACAAAACATAATTACCTAATTGTAAAATAAATTCAATGTTATAGATAGATAAATAAAGTTTAATTTATATAATTAGAATTATATTTATAAAGGATCTTATTCAATTATTGATAGAGCTAGAAACGAATGTGTCGTTAGGTAGTAAAAAAAGAATGACCTTTACCAAATATTTCTCCAGGTGTTGTTGGCAGGTACCTATTGTTACCAAAGATAGTAAATAAAAGAGGTAGAATTAGGTAGAATATATGCGTTGTTGCTTGGTTGATAATTACTAGGAAGGATACATAGCGCCCTTGCTGAAGCGTTCTTATCATTTTATTGTGAGCAGCAGTATCAGCTGGTATTATGTTCAAACCTTGACGACTCATATCTAGTATTTTTCTGAGTCGATCACTGTAAAGTTAAAATTATTAAATTATATGCTATTGCATAAAGAAGAATTTTCTAAAATATGAATAATATGACAAAAAGTTTATCCGAACTTATTCACCTATCCTTTATATCTATTCAAAGGATCTAAGAGCGCTTAGCAAAAACTACTGTGACTTTGACATTTTGCAGATAATATAATATGTGAATTAAGTATCCGATATGGGAGGTTTTTTGTAAATACTCCATTGGGACGGGATATACCGGGTTCCGGGTAGGCGAGGCAATTTCTCTTTATCCATACTTAATATGTATTATACATGTGAAAATATCTTATCTTTTTCTTTGACTACTTACACGAGACAGACTTTGATGACATTTTATTTCTGTTTAAACTTTAAGTAACTTTGAGATAAGCGGAATCTTAGGAAAAAGCTATTCTATATAAGTAAAAGTGAAACAGCCGCTTACACAATTTTACACGCACATACATACACACACACACACACAAACACATACAAGTTTCATTTAAAACAAAAATTACAGAGTTTCCTCTCTGTGACGTAAGACTTATAAATAGATCGTATAAAAGAAGGTTTACAAAATACTGACTTAAATGACAGTTTACGGGTTCACCCACAAATGATATATGTAACTATTGTTTCAATCCAGAAAAAGCCGCGTAGATAATTTAATATAGTACATTTTTATAAACGAAACAATATTGATAACAAACCTGGAACTCCACATAAATATGTATTTTGAGAGTGGAACACAAGTGGAACTTAAGCAGTTCATGGCTTTGAAGCACTCGAGTTTGTCAGGGATCACTTTTATTAGGTAAATACTCTGGCTAATGGTACCGACATAAACAAATGTCCCAGCAAACACAAATGTGGCTAATAAGGACAGAAGGGTCATTTCTGGAACAAGCGTATCTTTATTTAGATCTTCTTGATTTGCTGTAGTATATGATATTACTGGGCAGTACAGTTTTGTGTGATTCGCCTTCTTACTTATTAACAATACCTGCATAATTAAGTCACAGATTTTACTTTTATCTGAATACTTAGGTATTTATGATATCTAATCTTTTGTTAGTAATGGAGTCTAACAACAGTCCTATAGGAGAGGGGGAAGGGATTGTTAGCAATGGAGTTTGACAGCCCCATTGCTAGCAATATGCCCTATTAGGTCGACTTCCACGTGGTTCCTCCTGGAAATCCTCGTGAACGATTATTCTTGAATTCGTCACGATGGGCTAACTGACCTGCTTCATCCTCATCTATCATCCTTCACTGGTGTCTCGCCGGTGTATACCGGTAAAGCGGATGGAGTTACCATCCCATTATTACCCATACAAAAAAAAAAAAACCAGTCCTATTGCTAGTAATGGATATACATATTCCTAGCAATAAGGCTGTTTTTTTGTCAGGTAGACGTCCTATTGGGCGCTCCTTGAAATCACCGTGGTTAATTGTTGCTGAATTTGTTATTATAAGTCAATTGATCGGACTTCATCCTCACCTATATCATTCACTGCTATACCAATAGCCAGGGATTACCATTTCATTTTCTACTCCATCAGTTTCTATCAGGTGAGTCGTCAGCTTGTTTATAATTTCAAGTTTCATAAAACGTGTGAGTTCCAGTCAAATTCCAATTTTGCTATATACATAATGCGGCCAATATTTTACTTTTGGATCGTACACTATTAGACTTAAAAATTTATTAGGGCATACTATGTCGTTAGGTTGTTTAAGCAACTTTTCTTATAAAATTATAGATAAATTATACTATTTATTTTTTAAATATCTTTAGGTACTTACTACGGTTCGTATCTCCAAACACATTATGTATTCCAACTAATATTTGAATCGAATTAACCATGTTTTTACTGGCTTCTATAGGATCATCATTAGTTTTCATCAAATTGTAAATATAATTTTTAATATAGTTTACAACCATTTTGATGTGTCGCGAGCTGGTCATATGGAGTAATGTAACAGAGTAGTTTGTAACGCAGATCTTTTATTATAAAAACACTACAACGATAATTATATTTAATAACTATAACAATTTGGTTGTTAAAAAAATATTGATAATTGGTGCTCAATTTACGAATGATTGTTATAATATGCCTATACTACAAATTATATATACACACACACATATATATATATATATATATATATATATATATATATATATATATATATATATTAATATATAAGCCAGAACACTGTCTAAGCGGAATCGCATTAGAATTTTAATAACTTTTTCTTACGTTACATTAGTTTTGGCTGTGTACTCGTATTGATCAATCAATCAGATTATTTAACAATAAAAATCTAGGGCAATAAATTATAACATTTTAATAATTTGCAATTGTAATCTTTTTTGTTTAATTAATTTTAGTCCCAAATTTCAATGCAATTTCCAAATGAAATAAAAAATCATATTCGGTTTGATTTAAAAAGTAAGAAGATGTAAGAAAATCGAGACCTTTGAGAAATGTAAGAAAAACGAGGCTTACCTCTTATATGTAAAAGTAATTAAACACATTTAAAAGTAATTGTTATAAAATTTTCTTTTATTAATCATATTTTTATGATACTATACATCGTAATAGTCCAATTACAATTTGAATTTATTATGTATACTACTACTATTTTATTTATTTGCGTAATATAAGCAAATTGACGTATGCTAATGTTGTTTACATGGTTTACATCGGACATTTTGGATAACACTTAAAAATTATAAATACGTAAATAGGTAACTTTATTGTAATTAAATACAGTTCTTCTGAATTTTTTGTATTAGACTTAGCCAATATGTTTTCAATTTTCATTATTGTTTATAGACAATCTTAGAAGAACTATGGAAAAATAATCATTTTTTTTTTTTTTCTATGTCTTGCTCGTCTTACGTTCTCGCCACAACTTGGTCTATGTATTTGAATAACTAGTAAACAATACTACTATTTTACGAACTATGATATTATTTAAATAGAATATTTTTTAAACGAATTAATATATAATGCATAAACATTATAAAACAAAATAAAATATTGTGTAAGGCTGTTTACACACGTCATATTTGAGCACTTAATCGCTAGTACTATCGATTAGTTCCACCGATCGTATATGCTATAATTAAATTCTGTTTTACACCAAAAAAAGATTTAAAAACTAAACTAAACAAGAATTTCTCAAATCAGTTTACAACAGAAGGAGTTATGAATGTTTGTAACATAAAAAAAAAAACATGCAATCGGCTTGAAAACCTTCTTTTTTAAATTATGTTAAAAATGTCGTATAATAAATTGTTCAGTCAAGTTCATTAAAGAAAAGCCGACTCAATTTCGAATAATCGGCTTTATCAGTGGTGAATGATATCATGATCGTAGTAGACATCTGTATAAAGAACTTTTCCAGTCTTGTTTGAGTGAATTAGTACATAAAGTATCCTGTATCTTAAATAGGTAGATAGATAGATATAGTAATAGATATATATGTAATTTATTTACATTACTTACAGCACACAAATAAGAACAGATATAGATACATGCGTAAAAAAAAATACAAATAAAATAAAAACCAAAAGGAAAATATATAAAAAAAGTAACATAACAACAGTAACATTTCAATTCGCTATATAATATATATATATATATACTATATATATTATATTTATTATATATATACACACACATACATACATTACGTGTTTGAATAAAAACGTACAAATATTTAAACCCTTAGTTCCCAAAGTGGTCCAGGTGAATCCCAGGGGTTCACCGGAGACTTGACAGGGGTCTATGTTGGCGTGACAAAAAAATGGGGTTTACAATTCGAAAGCCACGAAATTTTTTTTATGCAACTCCGAGTGGCAAACAAGCTGACGGCACACCTGATGGAAAGTGGTAACCGTCGCCTATGGACATGAGCAGTACTATGGATGTAACAGAGTGTACTGTTTTGTCCATAATACCCCTATGCGTTGCCATACCTGAGGACTTAGGTGTTATTCCTCTGCACCCTGTAAATTCACTGCCATATCCCACCCTTCAAACCGAAACACAGCCATGCAAACACAACTGCTTCATGGTAGAAACACGAATAGGACAGAGGTACTCAAGCGTATGACTTTTTTTTCAAAGTCTCCCTATGGTAAGTATTACAATGTAATATGATAACAATAATAAATAGTGTAATAATTATATATTTGAATAAATACAACACAAAAAACATATTCTATTTTTCTTTTTATTTGAATTATTACAAATTGGGAGTTTTTTAAATGAAATAAGTGAGAATTGATTGGTTCTTTGTGCTTGAATTGAATAAAGTCACTTTTTTGATTAGCCAGCTTTAATTTTTTTTAACATCCACTCATAGGTCAATCAATTAATTAATTGAACAATCAATTGTAACTTTTTTTTAAATTTATTAATTTATGGTTGGTACTCAGTTGCAACGCAAATTTCTATTAGATCTAATCTTCACATTTCTTGTCAAGTTTTGGGAATATACATAGTAAAATGTAACTGCTGGGTGGATCCCAGGACTAGCTAAATTTTGAAAGTGGTCTCTGAGAAAAAAAGTCTGGGTATCTCCTAACATCTTTACAAACTTTCCCATTTATAATATTACTGAAATTTAAGTATGTTAGAAATACAAATACCCTTCTTGTTGTTATAATAGTACTACATACTTAAATAAAATAAATATATATTTCCTTAGTAAATCATCCTTGCTAAACGCTGTTTACTACAAACGCAATTTATTATATATACAACTAAGATTTTTGTAAGGTCCAATAGGCGGAATAACGCACGGTGGATGATCGCCACTCATCCAGATGGTTGGGATAGAACTTTAGTTTTTGGCGGGTTGTACCATATAGTTGTGAATCAGCAGCAGGTATCAAGTAAAATATTGTTTCTTTGATCTAGTGTAGGATTATAAGAAACATACCGATACAACATACCTTATTATAATAAATAAATCAATGAAAATCCTGTAGATAATATTTATTCTAGAAACCATAAAAATATTTTAATAATTCAATACTACACTGATCACGGCGACCAGCCATTACGCATGCTACAGAAGCATAAACAGTTTATTTATTTATTTAGGATACTTTGAAGAATGTTGAACGAGCTATCAGTCAAGTCTTTGATTTTATGAGCATAATCTCCATTTTCATTTATTTTTCTCCCTAGATATGTGAATGTATCAACATAATTTGGTCAATATAGTGCTTTCACTCTTCGAGGAGAAGCCAAAACCACTAAGCTAGAGAATGCCTCTCTGAAGAGCTTAAAGGTTTTGACTTATTCGAGATCAATAAGTACTTAGTTTTGCGATGTTAATACTCAAAACTCTTGCTTTGTGTTTACTTGAAATAATGGCTATATTTAAATAAAATTCAAATAATAATTATTCATAAACAATTTTACAAAATACCTATAATTAATTGCTACTAACTACAGTTAGTAGCGTTTAATTATAGGTATTTCTATTATGTCACCAAGGCTACGAAATTGTATTACAAAATAGTCCAAAACGTGTAACAAGTTATCAGTTATATAGATATTAAATTATTTTGAATATTATCAGTAAAATATTAAAATTTAATACCGTTTTTTGACGTGTGCCTACACACACAACTACACACTAACTTTGTACATTATTATTTTTTAATTAGTTACATATATATAATAGATTACATGATCTCAGCATAACTAATGATTAGTTTTTTTTTCGATGGATGAAAATGGAATGGTAACTCCGCCTGCGCTAACGAGATATGCTGGCGGAGCACCAGTGAAGGGTGATCGATGAGAATGAAAACAGGCCAGTTAGTTCATCATGATGAATTCATCAGGAATTAACTATGATAGTTTCCAGGGGGAACCGCGGGGAGCTCGACCTGGTTGGGTATATTGCTAGCAATGGGATTCTTAGTCTCCATCCCTAACAATCCCTTTCTCCCCACTAATGTTTAGTTAGGTAATTATAAAATTTAGGTATTCATTCTACGGTTTTGTGTAGCCCGCCTTGCCTGCAGGGTAGCTATATAATAATGCCTTATTTACTTTTGTCATGAAACATTAATTAATCAGAACACGTAGGTAGGTATTTCCGAACCGATACGACAACATAACATTCAAGAAAAGAGTATATTCCTTTTTAAAAGGCCGGCAGCACACCTGCAATGCCGCTGGTGTTGTAGGTGATCATGGGCGGCGGTAGTCACTTACCATCAGGTGAGCCGCATGCTCGTTTGCCCCCTGTGTTGTAAAAAAAAAAAAAAAAGGTAGGTGACAAATACTGCAAAAGTAAACAATGGCAAAGTTGATACAAAAACACAAGGTGAAAGCATATCTAAACAAATAGAGAAAAGATGAGGTCATTACAAGTTTTCCAATATTGTACGTGTTAAATCAAAGTATCTATACCTATTTATTTGTAAGACTCTAAGTTATAAATAATACAGAATGTTTGTAAAACTGAATTAGTTCTGAATCGTAAGTTTTTTTATGCAACTTATAACGGCAAATAAGCTGACAGTTCGTCTCATGTAACCGTCGTCATTTTTTTTACAACACAGGGGGCAAACGATCATGCGGCTCACCTGATGGTAAGTGACTACCGCCGCCCATGGATTATCCAAAGAGTGGTTGTGCGTGGGAGAAAGTGCCTTGAAAAACGCACGGTGGAGGACCGCCACTCGTCCTGATGGTTGGGATGAAATTTTAGTTTATGGCGGGTTATACGATGGACATTAATGGTATCATGGACAACAGAGTATATTGTGTCATCCATAATACTCTTCATGTATTGCCATTCCTGAGGACTAAGATATTATGCCTCTGTACCCTATAGTTTGCATTGCCATATCCATTTCTTTAACCGAAACACAGCCATGCAAATACAACTGCTTGAAGATGAATT